GAATGGACTCCACGGCAGTGGGTGTGGTTTGGGCTTTGCTTCTGTGAAGATTGACAGCCTTGGAGACCCTGTGGGCAGTTCCACTCTGTCCTCTAGGGGCGCTGTGGGTAGGAATCAGCTTGGGCGGGTGTGGTACTTTGGGTTTGCTCAGTGCAGAAGGGCCCAGCGTGAGTACCCAGCCCTACATTGTCAGGCATGTTCTTTGCTGTCCTGTTGATGTTGCAAATACCGTAATGCTTGTACTCGAGAAACAGTCCTGTTCCGTGTAGCTCAGTTCTTCCTCAGGGTCCATCTTGGGTGGTTGTTGGGTGGCGTTGATCTGATTTCTGACTCATGGTGACCCCCGTATGACAGATTAGAACTGCCCCATAGCATTTCTGAGGCAGTAACTTTTATGGATAAGGAGTGCTGGTGGCATAGTGGTTGAAAGTGTTTGGCTGCTAACCAAAAGGTTGGCGGTTCGAACCTACCAGCCGCTCCACCGGAGACCCCATGGCAGTCTGCTTCTGTGAAGATTGCAGCCTTGGCTACCCAGTGGGGTCAGTTCTGCTCTGTCTTGCGGAGTCACTGGGAGTCGGAATCCATTTGATAGTCATGGTTTTTTTTTGAATTCTTTAAGGAAGCAGACTGTCGTGTCTTCTTCCCTCAGAGTGTCTGGTGGGTTTAAACCCATCTCTCGGTGAGCAGCCAAGTACCTGAACTGCCGCACCACCGGGGCACATTGTCAAGGCTCTCTGACGGGTTGGGTTTGAATTGGAGCCCGCCACGTGTTGACAGTGGGAAGTCAGGCCTGTCTGCCCCGAAGCCTGTGCCAGCCGCCAGCCACCTGAAGTCTGGGCCGCTTTTCTTTTCATTGAAATATTCTCTTAAAAGAAGTTCAGAAGAAAATGAGAAGCACTGGGTCCCGCCCCTTAATAGGTGTTTAAATGGGACCCGAAAGAGGAGGCTCTGGAGAGGAATGGGGGTCGGGGGCCAAGGCGTTTCCAGAACCACCCTTTCTTCTTTCCTTGCACGCCTGTCTCAGTTTTGCTGATTGGAATTTGGTTTGGGGACCTTTCATTCATTCTTTCATTCAACAAATACTTACTAAGCTCCACTGTGTGTCTGGCAGTGGTCAGACAGTCCACAGCCAGCCTGTGGGAAGCTGTCCAGTGGTGACAGGTGCTAGGTTAGTAGCAGGAAGGGGCCAGGGCAGAGGTGGGCAGGCTGAGCTCCTGGGGGAGGGGAGGCAGGGCGGATCCTGTAGGAAAACAACTCCAAGGGGGCGGCTCAGGGTGCCAAGGGTCTGAGGCCCCCAAGAGTGGACTTGGTCTGCTGGGGGGTGAAGGTGGGTGGCGTGGGGGGTGGGGATGGGACAGGAGAGGACAGGTCCTGGGAGCCTTGTGAACTGACTGTTACTAGGAGTGGAATGGGGGCGGGGGGCCAAGGGAAGATGGTTTGAGCTGGAGTGAAGGGATCGGTCCGAATGGGATTGTTCTCACTGTGGAGAACAGACTGTAGCCGGCCTGGCAGCCGTGGTCCGGCCCAGGTGCTGGTGGTATGGCAGTGGTGGGGGTGACGGCTGAGCCCCAGGTGCCTGTCCTGGTTGGTAGGTTCGTTATGGGTGTACACGGGTGCTTGGGTTTTGGGCCTGACCCAGAGAAGAACCGACTTGTTAGCTGCTGAGGGTGTGGGGAGTGGGAAGGCTGAGGTAAGAGCAAGTTTTTTGGGGGGATCTGGGGGTTCTGTTTTGGACATGTGAGGTTTGAGGTGCCTGTCGGCACTCCTGTTGGGATGTGACTTGGTGTTGGGTCTGCGATCTGGAGCTGGGGTCAGGGGTAGTGGTTTGGCTGGGCACATGTGGATGGTGTCCTCGGTGTGGAGGTGGCATGTAACCCCAGGAGAGGATGGGAAGGGACTCAGGGGTCCTCTTCCTTTCCCGGTGGCCAAAGGTGGTTGGTTGGTGAGTGAGGAATGTCCCTGTGGTGGTGTCACAGACCAGGCCGTGTCACCTGGGGCCCGGGTTCGAGTTTTCCCACGGCTCGCCTGATTTCCGGAACCTCCAGCCCTCCCCACAGAGCTCCCGACAGCTGTGTCTGACTGGGCAGCCTTCCTCCCCGGCTGGCCTGTCATGCTACCTAATCCCCACCTGGCCCCTTCACTGGTAGGGCCACCAGGCTGGCCTAACGGTGCCTCAGGTGTCCCTGGTGCCAGCAAGGAGAGCCTTGGCAAGCCAGCTTTTTGGAGGGAAGGTAACAGGAGCTGGAAGTAGGGTGGGGGGTGCATAGACTTGGTCCTTGGGGGGGTGGGATTGCATTCACCTCGTGCCCGATTCTGCCTGAGTCTCCTGACGCTGCTGTAAGAGAAAGGCCACAGGGTGATGCCTTGGGCAAGCAGACATGACTCCCACAGTTTAGGAGACTACGAGTCTGAGTTCAGGGCCCTGGCTCTCCCGGAGGCTTGCTCTCTCAGCCGGCTCTGCGGAAGGTCCTTGTTCCTTCGTTCTTGGCAGTCGCTCACGTGGCATCTGTGTTCCCCCGGCTCTGCTGGCCTGCCGGATCATTAGCATCTCGGAGCTGATCTGAGTCCCTCCTTCGAGACTCAGGTTCCTGAGGATCTACGAGATCAAAACCAGCTATTCCCAGCTGGAGTTAATTTTCCCGCCAGGAGACATTTGGCAAAGTCTGGAGACTTTTTTTTTTTTTGCTTTGTTTTTATTATTTTTGAAAATTTTTATTGTGATTTGAGAGTCTGGAGACATTTTGAGGA